AAATGGATAATCGTGTAATTTTAAGTTAATAAAAATAATTATTATCAACACTGCATTATCACAAACAAAGAAATCGCTTATAATGATTACAGTCCCTGGCAATAATACATCAGTTGACGATTTTACATGTTAGAATTGAATAATTTTGAGTGACTTCCATCTACTATATCCAACTGCTGCATGCAGCCAACATCTTGTTCCAAATATATTCTATTAAGTTAACTATTAAGTTTTAATTTTAGTTTTAGTATGGTAGTTCCAGTTCCTCGTATAGTAGATGCTCCATCACTTGCAGTGTGCACACCCCATGGCAGGTTATCTAAAAGTCCTTCCATTTTATCTGCATATTTGCCAAAAACATTTTTTTTGCTTTGATTTTATTTTGATTTTAATTTTGTTGTGGCTTGTACTTGGCTTTTACATACTCCCCCGTGGGCTGGCTCTGCTTCCCCTATCCACCCTATCCACCCCCATCCACCCCCTATTCTGCTACCCCCCCTGTACCTCTTCATCATTCCCATTTGCCACTTGCCTTTGGGGCACTGCTGCGATACCGTGCTGCTGTGGCGCTGTGGTGCTACCTGGCTTAGCATTTTAGCGATGCATAATTAATCTGCCAGAGTCCGGGAATGGGCTGGGTGGGTGCGAGGTGCCCGCCCCAGCCACCCCGTTTTCACTCCATCATTTCACTGCGCCACTTCAATAAAATATCTTTTATTTTATTTTTAGTTCAGCTTTTCAGTGCTGTAAAAAAAAAATTTTGTTTTCATGTATCTGATGATGCCACGTTTTGGGGCACTCTTGTCAGGGGTGGCGAGTGCAGTGGCAGTGCACCCTACCATGGGGGATGGGGGAAATGGGAATGGGAGCCATGTAAAAGCGCAAAAATGTGACGGGTACGCTTGAGTGCGGCTCTCGTGCTCAGATCTCACTCCGGCTCACTACGACTCCCGGTGGCCTCTACCCCCCTGCTAACCCATTTGCCACTCCCCCTGCTGCTGCTACTGCTGCTCTTCTTCTTTCAGGTGTCCCCTCTCTTGGCCGGGCTGTGTGTATTGTTTGTCAAACAACTTGAGAGGGCCAAATGCTGCAGCAAGTTTCTGTCGTCGTACTCCACCGTTTACCTACCTGTGGGCGCTTTTCAGATGGGGGTAATGACTTATGGACTACCCCCGAGCCGCGACTCAGCCTCAGAGCAAGTCGAAGTTTATCGCATCGAATTCCAGCAGCATCTTAGACCAACCTCCAACTTCGATGAAGGGTTAGGGTTAGGGTCTGGCGCTGAGCATAAGCCATGCATGAGCGCCTTGGCCATTGTTGCGTGGCCTTTTTAATTGGCCAGCCGGATGGCGGCAGCTTCTTTAACAACCAAACGAAAAATATCCACATTTAATTATTCGCAGCAACAAAACAAAAGCGAACGCATTACATTTTTAATTCGAGAGTGGAAGCCAACGAAAAAAAACAGAAACAAAAAAAAAACGAACTGCTTAATTTTCAAGAGTGTTTGCTTAGATTATTTCATTAAATTGACCGGAGCGGGACAAAGGCGACAAAAGGCGGCAACGGGTGTCCTGTCCAGCGAGTGGCCTTTGTCCCGGACAATGCCAAAATACAAAAAATACAAAAAAAAAAGCAACAAAGTGAGCAGAAGGGCAAACAAAAGTGTTGAGCAAAAAGCTGGATAGACTTCTGCTAGAACTGCTCTCGCTGTGTCTGCCATCTGCCATAAACGCCGAAGTCGAAGCTGAAGCCAAAGTCCTGGGCTCGCCTTTGCTGGAACCTCTTGGATCGGTCGGGGGTGGAACGTGCACTTAATTAAAGATAAGAATTAACTGCTGATTAGTAGTTCTTCTTTACACTTGACACTGCACAGTCCAGCGTTGGCGCTGCCTTGGGGCTCGTCTAGTTCTAGCCCGACTGCTAGCCCAAGTCCACGTCTACGTTCAAGTCCACGTCCAAGTCCAAGTCCTGGCACGTACTCTTCGTCCTGGGTCTGCCTAACGAGTTTTTATTTTTGTTTCATTTGCCAGCCAGCCAGCCAGGCCCAAAAAGTTTGTTCAGTGTGGCCTTTCACGGCGCCCTGGTCCTGTTTTGTGTAGCTCAAAGACTTAATGTAGCCAAATGATTTATGCACTCAAACAGATACTCGTACAAAACGTACACACACACAAATGTAGACTGCACAGAGACACAGAAGAGGCATGCATTGGCCGCTTCATATGCGATAATTGATGTGGCATTGCCAGGTCTAGGCCTGGTTTTGATACTCTAACTGGGGTAAGTACGATTTTGTAAGGAATGCGACTCGATACATAACTAAAAGGTAACTTATAGAACACAAGGAGATACAGGCCGAGGAAGAGACATGTTTGAAGCAGTAAATAAATGGAGTTGGAACGAAAAATAGAGAAAACCTCTATCCTGGACATGGACTTCATCCATTTATATATTTATTGTAATACTTTACATCTGTTCTTCTGCATCTCTCTAAGTCTCTCCTATGTATGAACTTTAAAGAATTCATTTCAATTGATAAACCTTGCGAATAATTAAATAAATATATACAAATATAAATGTATATTTAAATATCATTCCCAATTAATTAATTAGAGTATTTATTTCTTCGGCTGTCCCTGCTACTCCATGTTTTTGTATAATTTAATGCGCCTACGTGTTAATCACGGCAATTAATGTATGCGCCCACACACCCACACCCCAACCCATACCCCATGGGGCTCAGTCCACAGCCTCTTCCCCTCAGAGACAGTTACGCAGGGGGACAGAGACAGACACAGATACAGATACAGACAGTGGCAGAGACCGAGTTGGAGATACAGATGCAGACCCATAAATATCAGCGGCTGACCGGGCACGTTCGCAGGAGCAGAAACTTTCGTTGGCACTTGGCTTAAATGCCTCATTTTCCAGTCATTAAATTCTGCTGGGTGCGTACTGACCAATTTTGCTGGCCATAAAAATCTTACAAAAATCTTATAGGAATTCCCCCAAACCCCTCCCCAATCTTCGCGGGCAACTACCACAATATGGGGGGAAGTCAAGTTATTATTGACTCTCTGTCTGAGGCTCAGGCCGAGGCCCGCTTGAAATATGTTGACAATGGCGCCAGCAACAAAAGCTAAATACAAATACTCACCCCTTACAGTGCCCACCAGCCCCCATACTAAAGCATGGGGTAAGGTCCCCCGTGCCCCCACCGTACTACTCGTATATGCTACACATTCCAGCCACTCTCAGTTTTGCAACCCCTTAAGGCATTTGACTTTTTGATTTGCTTTCCTTTTATTTTTTTCGCTTTTTTTTTCTTCTATTTTTTGCTTGTTTTTTTTTTGAGAGCATCAGCAAAAGTTGTTGTATAGTTTTCGCCGACATTTCCTGAGGGTTGGGTGGTGGTGGTGGGGCGGGCGACAAATCAAAGCTGAAAATGTGTGGAAAAGTTGCAGTGCAGCAGCATTTGACAATTTATTATATGCTTTTGATTCAGCAAATGTTCGTTTTTTTGTTGCCACTGCGGAAATGTTAAATATTTGCCATTGCAGTGTAATGTTTCCTGTTTAGGGAAGACAACAGCCCCGGACTTGTTAGATCTTGTGGGGGGCAATTGATCGAATGTGTAATACCACGCCCTTTTTTTTCGGTAAGATTTTCTTCAAAATAAATTATACAGAACTGGGAATATATTTGTACGCGTAAGCCAAGAATTTAATGAGTGTTAATTCTATTAAATTAATTAAATTGAATTAAAAAAAATTAAATTTAACTATATTAATTAAATTAAATGAATTAAAAAAATTAAATTTAGTTATATTAGTTAAATTAAATGAAATATTTTTAAATGTCATTCGTTAACTACCTTAAAAAACCATCCCAAAATTAAGTTTTTACGAAAATCATGTTTAGGGCACATTCAAGTATCCGAAATGCTTGAATTCGTTCAGATTTTATTTTAAATTGTATTTTCAAATTTAAAACTTCTTAACAACGAATATGCCCAGATAATACCAACCCTAAACATTTGCTGGCAATGAAAACTATTAGCCCAAGTCATAAATCTTCAACGGAAGAGAGATGAAATCTCTCTCTGTAAACCTTCCAGAGAACGTTCGACTAACCACACAAAAGACCGCAAGAACTGAGCTCCATTTGGCTGCCGAAACAGAGGCAGAGGCAGAGGCAGACTCTATGAGCTGTGGCAGACTCAGTGCCAGACATGGCACAATTATGACAATTTCTGATGCATAACGCTGCATCCATAGAGCTTTAATGCAATAAACAAGCGACTGCAGCGTCATTAACACTGACAGGGCAGGGCAGCAGCCCGAAGAGAGCGAGAGGCGAGGCGTTGGGTGGCATGAAAGCATTACTGGGCCGCCTTTTGTCGTGCACTAATTGTCTGGCCAAAATGTGCAGCGCATCAGGGCCGGGGCTGAGGCTGGGGCTGGTGTAAAACGCTCCAGTTCAGGTGTGTGTCAGTTGGTCGATGTCACCGCAAAACACTTTGCAGGCAATTGTCAGAGGCGGCAGTTTTGGTAGCTGCAGTTTGCAGTTTGCCGCTTGCCGCTTGCCACTTGCTGCTGCCTCATTCAGGTGCTAAGACCGTTGTTGTTGCAGTGCAGCTCAAACTCACTTAACAGCTGACAATGACAGGCCCGGACCGGTGCCGGTGCTGGTGCTGGTGCTGGTGCCCCTGTTAATAGCTGCCTGCCAAGTGTCTGGAAAAGGCTTTCGGGCCAGTTGCCTAAGCGACATTGTCACTTGCGGTTGGGGGTCCGTCCTGCTGCCATCAGGCTTTACCGGCACCCTTTTGTGGCTACTGCATCTGGCAGTTGAGTGTATTCTCCACCCAAAAGTGAAGTGAAGTGATAAGCATACGCGAGACGGCAGAGAGCGGGAGAGAGAGAGAGTTGCCGCACAAATCAATTAGCAATTAAATTTGCTGAAATTCCAAAACCCACGGAATGTCTCTGCCAAATCAACATCAAAATATGCAGCATCAGCTGGAGCAGCTGCGAGAGCTGCAACAACAGCAACAGCTACAGGAACAGCTACAGTTACAGGAACAACATCCGCTGCTGTCAGCCATTACGGAGAATAATTATGCGTAAGCCAAAATGACAGAAAGTGACACTCGGCGTGACCCGCGCTGATGATTGGACCCCACCCACACAACCACACACCCCAGGAGCCCAAAGGCAGCCGCAGAGCAGAGCATGAAAAGTCCCCACCTCAAGCACTTAACGAGCACCTAGACAGTTATGAAGCAGCATATAAAGGGTGTCCGGAAAGATGCAGTAGAGCACATTTGAGAATTTAATATTTTGAAATTTCATATTTAATTGCAAGGGAAATTCTCTGCCCCCATCCATTGCAATTAGTTATGCTACAGATAAGTTGATGTAGCTGGTAGCTTGCCTGTATTTTCGGGACACCCTCTCTAGTCAGAGTCACTGCCGTTCGCATCCAATCAGAGTTCATGGACTAACTGGCCCGCCCGCTTGCCCGCAACTCGCTCTTTCCATATTTTGCAGTCAAACGCAACGCGTGCATTATCCCAACCATTACTATCCGAACCATTACCATTACCAGCAACAGGGACGACCACTGCTGGCCGCCGGCAGCAGCCACAACGGTGCTTATGCAGGCACTGCACCATCCAGCGGACATTCCGGCTATGGGTAAGAGTGCCCAACCAAACCATCCCAAAACCCTACACACACCCAGACAGACAGACAGACAGACCGAGGCTAATGCAAGTTTGAATTAGCAGCGGCATCGAGCCATCGGTGGAGTACGAATTGCAGCAGACGCCACCCTCGGGCAGCTTCTCCTCGTACCAGGCCAGCGCTGGAAGTGCGCCCGCACATCCGCCCGCTCATATGCCGCATATGCCCCATATGCCCCATATGCCTCATATGCCCCATCCGCCTCATCCGCCCCATCCGCCAGCATCGCATCCATATTCGTATCCAAAGCCGAAGCCACCACCGCAACCCACCAGGAGCTCCGGAAAGAAATCGAAGAGAAACTCCGGTGCGGTGATGTCCGCGCTGACGCTTCTCTCGTTCTTCTTCTTCCTGAACCTGCTGCAGAACTGCCTCAAGGATCACATGTCCGATATGAATCCCACCGTTATGGTGCTCACGGACACCGGCGGTCGCAATCGCTTCAATAAATTAGCGGAGATGAACTCACGCGAACAAACCTCATCGACGACCCCATCTTGGCAGCAGGCTGCCTTAGTACCCGTGCCGGACTATGCACCCGGACCCCTGCCCATCTCCAGTCCGTCGCCGCCCATTATTGTTAACCCCACGGTGGTGTTGCAGTCGCCATATAGCGGAGCTGCTGCTGCTGCCGCTGCCGTGGTGACTAATAAGCCCCAGTACCAGCAGCACCAGCAGCAGCAGCAGCAGCCCCTGCCGCATCCTCACCAACACCAACACGAACACCACCATAATCACAATCCAGCAACGGACTCACATCATTATCCAGCGCCAGCACCCCCCAGCGTTGATAATGATGAGAATGATGATGATGTTTATAATTACGAACATCGGAGACCACGACCACGACCATCCCCACAAACCAGCGCCAGCGCCAGCGCCGCGGACTTCTATCCTAATCGCACAACACACATTGAGCACTCGTCCCGTCCCGACTTTGACTCCGATTCAGATTCCGATTACTATCAGCACCACTACTACCCCGAACGGCACCGCTACTCGGACAACTCCCGCCACAGCAATTCACGGCGTCCTTGGTCTCATGGCGCCAGCAGCAGCAGCAGCAGGCAACGCTACTCATCCGCACCATGGTCTTCAGCTTCGTTGGGCGCTCAGTCGGGCGTGAGCTCTTACTTGGATAATGCCCAGCGCCGTCAAGGTGATGATGATGATGCTGCTGCTGCTGCTGCTGACCATGACTATGACGATGACGACGATGACGATGGACGGCATCGGCGTCGCGGTGATGCTTTCTATACACGCATTAATTGAATGCAAGAAGACCACGGACCACGCCACGCGCCCACAATTGTGTGTTGTGTGTGGGCTATAGGAATAAATGTGCGCACACCCAAGCAGCTGAATTGCATTGGCATTAACCCACTGGCTGGCATTGGGTGTGCAAAATACTCTTAGCAGTTGCAAAATAATTAATAAGAAGCAAATAAATGCTTTATTACTTTGTACAGATCTATATACATTTTATTAATTTAATTTAATTTAATTTTTAGTTTTACTCAAAGTAAAAGAAAACTGAATACAAAAATGTGGAAATTTGCTAGCAAATAATAAAGATGTGTAATTAAAATGTAAAAATGACAATTTAAATATTTTTCAAATATGTTTAAAATATGTTAAATATGATATACGATCTGCTTTTTAAATGTTTAAAGTACTTACAACATTTTATTTGCGCAAATTTTCTATATTAACTACAAAAAATTCGATGTTAATATTTACCTCTAATAATTACATGAGTTATATGCCCATAAAATTTTTATAATCTGTGAAACTTAATGGGTTAATATTGCTTGTAGCACATGTATTTATAATTAAAAGCAAACACGGAGCAGACAAAAAACCAATGCCTCGAAGTGGATGGTGGGAAAGAGCAACCAGCAGCAGTAGCAGAAGTTGAAATCCTAATGAAAATAAATGCTAATTTGTTGCACAACAAATTAAATGTGCCCCCCAGTTTCTGTTGCTGTTGCAGCAGGGTGGGTTGGCTAAGACTTTATTTTATTGCCTGCCACAGCAACTAAGTTGCAATTTCCCGGGATCCTTGTAGCTTTCTCTCTCCCCACCCCTCCCCACACTCTTTCTGTGCTGGCACTTTTCTAATTCAAATCTGTTGCTTTTTACCTGCGCTGCTTTGCTTATTTATTTATGGGATTTTTTCTCGGGGTGGAGTGCGGTAGCCACAACAATAATCACTGCCAATGAGTCGCGAAAGCAAAATCGTGTAAGGAGCAGGTTGGGTAGGGAGGGGGCAACTTTAATTAACACATTTAGCGCACTTTAAAATGCATTTGGCCATCCGCCGCCGCGTGCACTACAAACAATGCTATCAATTTCAACAACTTTGATTAAACGTCATTTGCAGTTTGCAGCTTGCAGCTTGATGTTGCACGGACTGGGGGCCTTGGGCTGCAGGATGGGATATACATATAGCCTGGCAATTGGCATTGTCAGCGCTTTGGCTGGGTCTGCCGCTGTTGCTTCAACAGCTCTTGCTTCATTTGCAATTAAATGCATGCAACGCAAGCGAGAGGGAGTGGCAGGGGGAGAGATGCAGGGCCAGTCACTGCCTCTTTCACGTTGCAGTTGCATTTCGGGCTCAGCCGTCGACACTCAAAAGCGTAATTTAAAATTCTCTTGGCTGCCATTTTTCGAGGCCCTTTCTTCACTTTGTGTCGGTGATATGGCTGGCTGGCTGGTTGGCTGGCTGGCTGGCTGGCTGGCTGTAGTGGAGTGGAGATTGCCGCTTGCTGGATGCCGCATGCCACGCACCGCTATTCGCTTGGCACACGGTGCGTATGAGTTATGCAATGGCTGCATGGCAGCGGCAGACGGCGCTGGAGCACACCGGAGCAGCCAGCAGCCAGCAGCCCTGGCAAAATGAAGTTAATATAAATTTTGCTTTACAGTGCAGTCCCCCCGTTCCCCCTCCATCAGAACGTTTGGGGCTTTTGCGTTTATATATGCGTGTGTGTGTGTGTGTGTGTGTGTGTGGTGTGTGTGTGCGAGAGTTGCCCTCATATATTTAAATAAATTTATGACTTTAAGTGCAAACTGGCAGCTAATGCGTGATTTTTGGAGCCAACAGAAGCACGTGACTTGTGTGGCTGGCCCTTACCACAGTTCAGATTGGGATGGGGCTGTGGAGGCAGTGGAAATTGGAAGGGGTGTGTTTTGGGGCAGTGTTATTGAGATTTGGAATGGAAAATCAATCTTTCAACTAATTAAAAACTCAGGCCTAAGCTATGAATGTTTCTGCCATCAAGTTTATTTCCTGTACCAATTCAAACTGATTTTTATATAATTTTATGCTTCAGGTAATATCTGCTCGGTAGCGGTGCGGTGCCTCTCCTTATGAGATCGTAAAAGTGAAATTACCACATTATTGCCTGGACTTTTGGGTGGGCAGTTTGGGGGCGCAAAATGGCAGCTTGTTGCTCTGGCGTGCGTCTGACGCATTATCCACAATTAAACATGCAATAAATTCACTTTAAACATGCATAAATTTATAATGTTAAGTACAGGTCTTTTTTTTTTTTTGCCCTTCCGACTCCCACTTTTTATTCTGTTTTTTTTTTTTTATTTGCCGTTTGTAGTTCATTAAAAAATAATTAAAAATTGTAACCGAGGCAGTTTTGTGCTGCTGCTGCTGTTGCACAATTATTTATGCCACACATAAAGCACAAAATGAAAGGGGCAATAATTTGCTATCGTGTCAACTATAAGTGTACGGCAGATAAATTAAAAGTAAACAAGTAAATAAATTTTACAAAAATTGTTAATGTTTTTACGGCACAGGCAGAGAGAGTAAGAGAGAGACAGAGAGGGAGAGAGAGATAGTTCCACAGGGATATTTAAGTTTTTATTTGCCATCATGCGTAAAGGATGCTGAAATCCTTTTACGGCAGCTGCCAAAACAGAAATGGCTCAAAGCAAACACTAAAACAACAAGAAATTTCGTCTCAAAAGTTCCCACGAGACAGAGAGATACACAAAGCAAGAGCTAGATAGAAAGAGACAGCAAAAGAGTGAGATAGAGAGAGCTCAATTTTATTTGCTACAGTTTTATATGGCAAACAATTACGGTAAGTAATTTATTTCTGCTCAACTGAATTAGAAATCTCTTAGCACTAAGCCAGTTTCCTGAGGGTTGTCCCAGACCCCGTCCTCGGCCCCTCCTTCTTAGACACGTTTGTGTGCGTGTCTGTTTATGAAGATACAATAAGATATGCAAAGAAAATTAATAGTACTACATTTTTTACAACACTTTTGTCTCGACTGCTGCTAGTGCGATAATTCATTGCCCGCTCGCTCTTTGTCCCGTCTCTGTCTGGCTGCCACGACGCACTTCCTGCTCGACTTTCTCATGACTGCCGCCCCCGCCCCCCGCAACCGCCACCACCCCCGCCTGCGTGCCAGTGCCAGTATTTTCTTGCTGCTGTCTGTTGTCTCCACCCCTCCATCTCATCTCTCAGACATTTGCCGTTACTTTCGTGCTATAATCGGCTTAGTCTACGCTTACGGTTTGCTTTTTGCATTGCCTGCGCATTTGTGTATGGCATGGCACTTTCTGTGGTACGTAGAGAGGTAAAGGGAAAGAAACAGGGAAAGGGAGAGCTGTTTCGGTTCGTAGCTCTCTGCATTTCCCTTTATGCTCGCTCTCTCTGTCTCCTTGGCGCCAAAGGTGTTAAGTTGTTATTTTATTGCATTTTATTTCATTTAGCTGGCTGTGTAAGGCTTTCTATCCGCTTTCGTACAACGCCCCAAAGCGTATTCTGACTTTATTGTTCAATTGGCAAGCAGTAGCAGAGCAGCGAAATAATAGTCCCAATAGTTGGAGTTCTCAGAGCTAAAGCAATATTTGTATTTCACACAACATTTATCCGTATTTATCTGTAGAGTTTTGTGGGCTTATCCAAATAGAAAGATACAATAGGGGAATGATTAGGAATAATTTTTTATCTTTTTTGGTGCAGTGAATATTTATTTAATGCTGCATTAAATATTCCACTATATGGAGCACTCGTCTTGGCTTTGAGCAGGCCTACATTTTTAAGGCAGCCACTTAAAGGCATTCCGAAATTGTCACGTGCATGGACTTGGCTTTTCTTGGCAGGCTTCATTTATCACACACACAGAGAGAGGGACAGAGAGAGACAGAAGGAGAGAGAGAGAGAGAGGGAGAGAGAGAGGAGAGCGAGAGCGAGAAAGTCAGATATGTCAACGTTGCATGCAATGGTTAGCAGTTGCAGTTGCCGCTTGAAGAGCCATAACTCATAGACAAACACTCGTTGCCACTGTACTCCAGTGCTGTACTCGTCCCCTGTTTCGAGTTGGTCACATAAATGTCACTGCATGTGGCACAATTGTGTCCGCAATTGTTGTGGCAAATAAACACGTCATAAACCGTTGACTATCTTCAGTTGCCTCAGTTCAAGTGCCTTCAACTGTAGGCTGACCAACATTCAACATCGGTTTACCCAATCAAAAAAAGCAACCAAAATCGGAGAACAAAAAAAAATGTATACGAGGGCCACAGCACTTGGAAATTCAATTACACGGCACAAAACTCTATGTATGTATGGCAGTAGAGAGGTATAAATATTTTTTCCAACACACTCGCCCACACACACACAGAGATAAAATATCTATTAATGCCCATAGATTGCTCGAGTTTTAAGCTTACTACAAATTCAATGTGCGCACACAATTCAGTGCCAAATGGGATTTTGGTCAGGAGCAGAAACAGAAGTAAAGGCAGCACCAACCAACCAGCCACCAGCCACCAGCAGCCACAGCAGCAGCAACAGCAGCAACACCAATGGGTGTAAGCCTTAGATGGAATAGTAACAAACGCAACAAGAACAAACCTCAGAAAACTGCATACAGTCGATAATCCGACTGTAGAATACCCCCAGGAATACAAAATAAAATAATTGAAATTCTACAATCGCTGGATAAGCGCAAATAGGGACAGCGCAATAAATAAACGAGCATTTCTTTTTAGATTTTTAGTTGTCAAAGTAGAGGTTAGAGGTGCAAAAGAAGCCCAAGAATATGGCTTTCTTCGGCGCATCCAAATACCAATCCGAATACCAATATACCCAATCTGCTGCACTGGTATAGGGTCTAAAAAACTGCACAGAATCGACTAAACTTTATGTTCATGTTAAGAAAAGTGCTGCAGGAGAGTCGAGTCGAGTCGAGTCGGAGGAGACTTGGTCCGGAGCTTGGTCGTTGGTTGGGGCCAACGGCACACGGAAGTGAAAACGTTTCACACT